CCCCAAAACCCCAAAACCCCAAAACCCCAAAACCCCGCTAGTTCAAGCTCCTCTTGAAAATCCACTACAATGCATGAGTCTTGTTTTTGGTGGACAACCAGTTGAAAGTCCCTGATTCGATGGAAGATCCTAGGACAGTGGACCGGTTCTGCTTGATTCACTTGTTTAAAGCAGAAAAGTTTCTGCCTTTTGAAACTCTTTTCCCAAGACCTCTACTTTTAGCTCGTTTGAATTCCTTCATAGCCTTTTTTGAAAGTTTGTCAAATTTCATTTTTAGACCAATTGCCTTCCTTCTCCTGCTCTCTGAGATTTGGTAAGCCAAGTCTGGTGTGTACGTGTCTGTTGCAAGATGTCTCGTATTGAAAAGAGAGCAATCTGTATCGATAGGGACATCAATAAAATCATTCATTGAGTTTAAAATTGTCTTATTCTTCTCATTTATCTGTGATAAATTTAATCTCTCATCCTCAGTTTTGGAGATCTTGCCCATTCCTACAAGGTTACGATGTGCTTACTTTGATTATAAACATCTTCATTTTTGTTAATATTTTGGAACAAGTTGTACATTCTCTTCAAGATATTCCCCTTCCTTGAAACGGATGTATTTTCAGCAATATTTGATTTCGGAATAGTTAGTTGTAAGTATTCAATTAAAATTGCAACCAAATTTATCATTTGAGAGTTGTTGTGAGAGAATACATATTTTCAGTTCTCTAATTCAACTTTGTCTGCCTTTAAGTCATCCAAAAATATCATTTTGGTCTTGTCAGCCTTATGAGAGAGCATTTCTTGAATCTCATATGTACTATAAGGTTTTCCGCCCAAATGGTTAATAATTCTTTTCTCTACATCTTTAGATGATTTATCCAATAAGCTGAGGTTTTCCTTAATTATGCCACGCTTTATCTCAATATACTATACTTTACCAAAACCACATACCTCTTTTCGCATTGATTTGAGCTCCTGAATCAGCAAATCTGACTCTCTCTTATAATCTGCTTCGATCTTAATGACTTCTTCCTTAGTCAGAAATTTATTTGAGCCGATGAGTGATATCATCAACGGAGAATTTGCTTGCTTTTTCACAAATGACTTCATCAAATCTTTTAATAATTTCTTTTGCTTCATCAATTTCCTTCCTGAAGTCAGACACTATTTTAAGAGTAAGACCTTACCTTTTGTTCAGCAAGAAACAACTTTTGGGTCAACATAATCTCTGTGATCTTCTAGATGGGTGAAGCTGATACATCCTTCGAATTTCTTCTGCGTTGCCTTCTGAACTAAACACGTTAGGATGGAAATACAGTTGGTGAACTCAATTTTGACAAGTTTTTCGTCAATTTGAACCTTCAAGTTATCATCAACCCTATTTTAATTCTTTTATCTTCCTGTCAAGGTCGATGAACTTTTTGGTATTGTACTTTATTCCTTCATCATACTTTTCAAAGTATCCAGGCATACTTACAAAATTTACTTTCTCAGAAAGAGAGTGGTTGGTATCTGTTCTAAATTTTTGCATTTGCTCATCCACATCGCTTTGAAATGCTTTTTGGTTTACTGATTTCTCAACTTGATCAATTTTGTTTCTTAAAGAATCCAACTCATCGATTTGTCCATACTTCTTCAAACTCTCTCTTAACATAGTATGTTGGTCGATATGGGTGTAGTTTCTTTTAATTTTAGCCAAAATTTACCTTAAATGGTCTCTGATTTCGATAATATCTTGCACATCAGCTTTATTTAGAGAAACTATCTCTTAATTCTTGAAACTCTTTATCCATGTCACGGCAATACCTTTCACATTTATCAACCATCATAAATATAGAATTTGACTGAGAGACTTGGTTGGCTAGGCGCTCTTTTACATTATCAAACTCAGACCTTGGCGCTAATTCTGCATCTAAAATCCTCGCTCCCTTGAGTAAGTATTGGCTACAGGAAATCAGGATAGCTTACTTAAAATTATTTTTCATAAACAATACGATTTCTTGACGTATCTGTTCGCTTAATTTGTCTAAAACACATTAAACCCATCTAAAATTTACCCTTGCCTAGTCCTCCTTCTGAAAAAATAGAGTCTCGTACTTCATGATGGCTCATTATCCCCTATCTGACTATCAGCATGATGAATTACCTTGCTTTTCAAAAATATTTAAATAAAATGGGGTTTTGGGGTTTTGGGGTTTTGGGGTTTTGGGG